GTTATTAATTCAATCAAAATGTTTTTTAATGAATCAAAATTATTAATCATCAAAATTATAATATTCCATTTTACCGACCGGCCTGTGTAGGGGTTAGGGAACTGATCTTGCATCAGAAAGATTCTGGGTTCGTATCCCGGGCAAGGCATGGATGTTCTTTTATTCTCCGTACTATCTGTCCATGCTGTGGGAGCAACGTTGGCCCACCTAATAGGGTGCCCCTGAAAAAGTCGCCAACAAATCTGACCTTCAGATAAGGGGCCCCCATCATGGGGGAAGGTGGGCGCACGATGCTCCCACTTAAAGCTTGGGGGGGGGGGCATTTTAACACTAAATAAAACGAATAGTTTGGCAGGGGAATTTAGACGAGGGAATTTTTTTTAAGTACATACATAAAAGAAGCAACTGGCAAACTAACATGAAAGGGGGAAGTTAGCAATTTTTGTATTGGGGGGGGGTGAATGCGCCCAAGAGCTTGGCGGGGATGGGGGCCACTGCTTCAAATGTCTGTATGACGAAAGGTCATTCATCAGAAGGGCATTGAAAAAAAAATTAATAATATTCCTTTTCTAGTATAAAAATAAGTTAAGTCACATTCTAGGAATGGATAATATTTTAGTTTTAAAACATGCCAGTGTTTGCTGGTAGAGTAAAAGTTTTTAAATAGGTTGGCTTAAATTCAATAAAATGTCACAAAAAAAATCGCTGCAAAATTATTTCTTCAGTTAAGTTAAATAAAAAATATGAAAGAAAAATTAAGAAAAATGAATTATGTATATATTTCATTATGTTTAAATATTCGTTTAAAAGCAATTAAAATCTTAAAACTCTATTTCATTTTACACCAGCTTTACAAAATGACAATTATAAACAAAAACCAAGTGAAAATAATTTCGACACGCATAACGTGGTAATTATAGAAGGATTTATCCTATTGCTTTTTTTTGGCAAGAATTGAATCGTAAAATCCGATTAACTCTTCCAAAATGCGGCAGAAGTTTTATGCCTGAATCAGCAAATTTAATATGTTTCCTTAATTTTCCTGCTCATTGAGACAAATAAAGTATTAATATTGACAAGTAGAAAGCGGAAACATTTTAATAAAAGTTTTTATATGGAACTCGCATTTAAATAATTCGTTTCTTACTATACTTTAAAGTTCAAGAGATTATCTTAATTTTTACAGACTCTCTTAACCTTTATATTGAAAAATAGAGGAATAAAAAAAAACGCATGCTCATTAAAGAAACAAAAGAAAAATCATTAACGCATATTAGCTTTTAAAAAGCATGATTACGGAGACACTTATTAAAAAGAAGTTACGAAAACGACCGTAGCATAATTCTAGTTCTTTTTTTATTTCGTAATTTAGATGCACGTGTAAATCTTTAATAATAAAACTAATGCTTATAAATGCGTTCATACATGAAAAAGAGCTCTATCTATCTCTCTTTCAGTTTTTTTTTTTCTGGAATGAGGATAAAATAAATGAACACCGAATTAGTAAGATAGAAAAGATTTTATTCGAAACAAGCGCATGAATGTTGAAATTCAAACGCGTAAAATAAGTATTTTCCCCACAAAACTGTGACTACTACAAAAAGTAGGGAGATATATCAACTTTCTAGGCAAAAATGAATTTCACCCCTATTACTTCAGTAACACTTCAAATATTTCTAAACTATAGAATTTTTACTTTTGCGTAAAACTGTGCAGATTTTTTCTTCTTTCTTTTTTTGTCTTAGTTACTAAAAACTAATTATTATGAAAATTGTGATGCCACAATAGGCATTACATATATTTCCTAGCTCTTAAAATTTCTTATTTTATTTAGCTTATTTTTGAAGTGATACTTCTTATGCGACTTCCAACAAGGTTGCGTTAAACGTTTAACGCTACATTTTTATTGGCCAGGAAATCACGCGGTAGGATCCAGTTTTCCCTCATTCATTTCCATATTGTTTTGGTTCTCACTAGCATAAAAATAATAAAAGTCATAAAAGTATTGTTTTTCTATAAATATTTTTTTAGTTTGTTTTGATACACATATAATTTAATAGGGTAGTATTTTTTATTTTCAAATTTAGTGGATAACAATTGTAAAAAATGAGTGAAAACAATCCCACGGACAATGCGACGGATTTAAGGTTATGTCAAGGTACGTCTCTTGTGAATATCAATTGATTGTTAGGTTTTCTCTTCTGAAATTACATTATGACGCATTCACATACATTATTAATACAAATACATTTTCCAGGGTGAGACGATGAGGCAACCTCAAGCACTTTCACTGGTTCAAGTGGTCCACGAGGGAAAAATGCACAATATTACCGTTATTACAGAACACGGAAGCGAGCGGAAAAGAAAAAGAGTCGTTGAATAGAACTAGTGATCCCTCTACGACTGCTGATTCTTCTACAATTAACGTAGCAGGTAACGAAGTTTAACTTCTTCCGCGTGGAGAGATTCCGCGCACTATTTTTTTAAAATCATTATTAACTGAATTTTAGTTAAATTAAATTAATTGTTTAAATTTTATTAAAATTTATACAAAGCGAATATAAAATATGTTATTCTTTTCTTATCGATTCATGTAAAACGGCTAATTTTTATTTCAATACTAATGTGAGACGCATTAATACAATGTCGCGACTAATCGAAAACAAAATCTATTTTATAACTCTTTATTTCTTATATGTTTCAGTTACATGGTTAAACTAATTCTCAAAGTCATGTTGGCGATTCGCGATCACCAAAGTATGTATTGATTATGGGGTGTTAGCTTCATTTTCGGCGATGTTTTCCTTTGATAAATCACCAACCTTAGATCACTCCCCATGCTCGTAACTGTCCGTTGGGAACAATTCATTCACTTCCAGTTTCCAATTTTTGACGACTGGGGGGGGGGGCTATTGGGCATCCTAGTCAATACTGTTAAATATAAAAAATGCTAACTAAAATTCTCGATGTAAGAGAATGTTTTATCTTGATCCCTTTAAAAGATTTATTTTCCTTATCTATATTATATAAAACGCTAATACGTACGTATGTATGTATGTATCAATAAAACCGATGATATTTCTTTTCTCGCGCTGGCAACAGTTTTCACTTTNCTTTAAGGGATTTCTTTTCCTTATTATTTTTATATTTTTGAATTACGGCCATTTTCAATAATTAATAAATCCATTTTTCTTAAAAGATTTTATTTATTTCTCTGAGACAGTTATTTCATTACATCTAAATTACGCTGCATTTGTAACGGCCAAAAAAAGTCAATAATGTTACCTGAACAAATCCACTAATAAATATAAAACGATCACCGTCATTACAAAAACCATGGTGATTTATCCGTTCCAAAGCTTAATTATGATGGCTATTTCATAGTCCTCTATAGCTGAAGATTCAATCGTAGATTTGATTTTACTTCAGCTCAAATCATTCAATATTTCTTCTCAGCCTCTGAACTAGACTTAGGGAAATCGATCTATATTTTTAACAATTTTAAAACATTATTAATGACCTGTCCAGCATCCCATTTCTCTTGCCATCCACAGAATTTACCATAATTTCGATATTTTGGGTTCTCTTCTTTTCCACTCATCCCTAAACTGTTTTTAATTATCTTGTTTTATCATATTCTCCTTCACTAATTAGCCAATCAGTTTTTTTGCTAGTTGTAACTTATTTCTGAGTCTGTGTGTATCAGAAATGAAACGGAGGTGCTTCATAATAGCAATGAAACCACAGTATGTCTGTTTTATGTTACACTATTAACATGCCAGTTACATCTTTGTCTTGAAAAGCTTCGTGTTGAAACACTTAGAAGTTCCAAACTCAATTTTAAAAGAAATAATATTTTGTGCAGAGAAAAACATAAATATTCATGGCTGCGTGAAACTTACTATAGTAACATAACCAAAAGTTCAAACAAAATATTTTTTTTTAATATTTTAAGTGTACCTTGATACAGTTTACAACTAAGGAATAATCAATTAAAAGCTTTTCAAGTTACGTTTTTATTTCTTACACAAAACCACATTCACCGGAGGAAGTCAAGAACAGCAGATATATATATATATATATATATATATATATATATATACATGTGTATATGTAAATAATATTCTTTATATGAATGTATAAATAAAAGCATAGTTATAAAAATAT